ACGCCGGCATGCCGCCCGCGCAGCACCCCGGCCACGTGGGTCCCGTGGCTGTCGCACTTGCTGGCCTGGCACGGGCACCACGGTTTTACGCCCCGGCCCATTGCATTCAAAGCAAGTTTGCAACAGCACAGCGTCCTCTCCATCCCACCCCACCCCTTGTGCTTTGCACCAGCTAAATCCCACTGCAGAATAAATCTTTAAAAAATTTTTTTGAGGGGGGATGATAAAAAAATCATCCTGTGCAGAAGGAGAAAAGCTGGCAGGATGGACAGGGGATGCAGCCAGCCTTCCCTAGGGCTGTGCTAGTGCTGGGCTTCCCACGCAGCAATGCAAACCATGCAAGGCAGCACTAGCACCCACTGCAGGGTGCAGGCAGCCTTCCCAGCCCCAGGTGTGGGGTCAACCTCAATTCCTTCTTGCAACGACACCTTGCAGGCACCCATGCCCCTCCCCAGCCTGCTTTCCCTGGAAAGACGCCCTGTCCTGCTCAGCCACAGCCCCAAATAGACGACATTGAGGGTCCCAGCATCCCCCAGGACCACAGCTCCAGCTGCTGCATGTCCTGCCCAGCATTTTGTTTTGAGCCGAGTGACCCTCCCGTCCTGGGAAGCCTCACAAGCTCGGTCAGGGTTGGAGGGTGCAGGGGGATGCTCTTGTCAGACAGCAGCATGCGGCACCTCAGGGCTCACCTGCCTGTGGAAACGGGTGCCGTCCTCCTCGGGGACGCTCTCGAAGTCAGTCACGAGCACCCTGCCCTCAATCTCCCGATGGGTGCTCTGCACGCTGGTGTCCAGCAGGTAAATCTCCACCAGGTCACCTTTATCTACCAGGGACGCAGCCAGGGCAAAAGGCAACCACCGCCACGGTCAGTCCGGGCCACCTGGGGTGCTCGCAAAATGCAGCTCCAGACCCGCAGCACCATGGAGCAGGGGAATATCTCCATTCCTCTGAGATCAGGAGAGGGGACAGGGGCACTGACCCTTCTTTCCCAAACCCCATCATTCCTCCCGCTGTGTCCCAGTGCTTACTGGGAGGGCTGTAGGTGCCTGAGCTGGGCTGTGGTGGCACGATCCTGCCCAGGTTCCAGGGGATGCTCTGGGCAAAGACGTAGGCGTCCTCCTCGACGTACTCCACATGCGGCAGCTTCAGCGCCTGCGAGGAGGGGACACAGGGGACATCACAACACCTGGTGTGATGGCAAAGCTGCTCTTTGTGTCCCAGTGCTTACTGGGAGGGCTGTAGGTGCCTGAGCTGGGCTGTGGTGGCACGATCCTGCCCAGGTTCCAGGGGATGCTCTGGGCAAAGACGTAGGCGTCCTCCTCGACGTACTCCACATGCGGCAGCTTCAGCGCCTGCGAGGAGGGGACACAGGGGACATCACAACACCTGGTGTGATGGCAAAGCTGCTCTTCCGCCTGGGGCTGGGGCTGCCACGCCCCACCAGTTGCCCCCCGCTGCAACCCACCTCCCCGAGACCTGTCCTCCGCCCCACGTACCATGTCCAGGACATCGCTGCTCATCTTCACCAGGAAGGCAGGCAGGAGGTGGAAGACATGCAGCAGTTTGGTCAGATA